TTTGATTTAATGTTTTAAAAGTATGCGCACTGTAGACGGTAGTTATATATTTTATTATATAATAAACCCTTAACTCAATTGCTTTCGCAAATTAATATCTTTAAGTATGAACAAGTGAATAATAAGAGAGGGTTTGGTTACTAAAGCCAAATCAATCCTCGGCTTTATGTAATAAAATCAAAAGTAGTAAAACAAGGCAAGTATATCAAGCAATTGATTGGTTTAACTGATTTATCCGTTTGGTACTAGGAAACATAAAATAAATTTTTTCCCCTCGTCTATGTTAATAAATTATTGGAAAATTTAGTTTCTAGTAAATTCATGAACTAGTTTTTATTTCAAAAAGGCCTGGAAAACGTATGCCTAGCTGCTGCAAGAAAGGCTGATCTGGCATTGGATCCCTCTGTTCTAATTACTACCGGTTCTTGATTGCTTGATTCCTAAACTCCCCATGTGTTCATTTTCAAAGACGATGGCCTGCTCATTCCAATTATATAAGTTTGACTGTTGCGCGCACACACACACGCACGCAATCACAAATAAATTATCACTTGGGAATCAAGCATAAATTAAAAAGTAACATTTTAGCTGATGTTACGCTACGCCTTATAGCCTTGGCTGAAAAGCTACCCAAGAGTCTCTTGCTTGGACTTATCATCCATTTCGTTTGTTCTATAAGTAGAGCTCCATCATTTTCACTCTCAATTTATCTTGCAATGGGAACGCACTATGAGAGAATACTCCTTTCAATGGCGTCCATTCGTCTATCAATTAGGATATTGCCGCCTTTTATTAAATCTATCTCATACAATATTGCTTTCTTTTGACTTCTCTAAATAGGGGATTTTATCCTTTTCTTGCTCCCTTCACCAGACACTACTCCTGAAGAACAAGCAATTAAGTTGTATTACTTTTTCGGTTAGACAGATTCGCCCAGCAAAATGTGATTTGTCGCAGATATTGCAGCCAAAATCTTTGTCTATTCACACTTTTGTCTAGAATAAGGCATCATTGTAGGTGAATTGTAAGTAGTAATCGATCTTTTATATAAATATAAATATAAATAAAAATACATATATATATATATGTATGTATGTATGTATGTATGTATGTATGTATGTATGTATGTATGTATGTATGTA